AAGACATGTCCCCAAACCCATGGAAGACCCTTGGCAAGAGTGGAAGATTTATTGGCTCAAGGCTTTAAAGAAATCTCTAACCAAATATTAGTTTACCACTAAACTCACTAAACAGAGATTTCAGTGGCTGTGTACTCTAGGGAAATGAAAACTTTACCATATTGGTCCAGGTAAGTCACTAAAGAAGAAACAACAATTGCAAGAAAAACCAGCAACCACAGACTGTGGGTTGGAGGTGGGAAGACCTGGTTTCCAGAGTTGCCACATTATGTTATCTATTCAATTTTCAACAAAAAAAAATATGAGACATGCAAAGAAATAGAAAAGCATAGCCCATGCAGTGGGGAAAAGATCAACAGAAACTATCCCTGAAGGAGCTTAGATATTGGACTTACTGCATCAGGCATTTACAGAACCATTAGAGACATCTAGATTTTATAAACTAAGACCAAGAGAGGTAAAAAAATGATCAGCATCAGTGTTCCTTGTGAACCTTGTGATTCTCAATACATATTGTTGTGTGGAATTATTGCTTCAATTGTGAGTATCTCTTTGTGTGTGTGTGTATGTGTGTGTGTGTATGTGTATATATATATTAGTGTGTGTATATATATATATATACACCCACACACTCTAATAATGGAATGCAAAGAATTATTTGAAAATGTTTTAGATAAGTCTCTAAACAGCCCTTATGTTTTATTCTCTTTTTCAGGCCCTCCAGTTAATGTCACATGCAACATATTCATCAACAGCTTTGGCTCTATCGCAGAGACGACCATGGTAGGCATTTTACTTTGCAACAAGTTTCACGCTAGAGTAATCTATAATTACATTAATGGCAACATTTTATGTAGTTTAAAATCCAAATTAATATAACAAGATTTTAAAAGATAAAATAATAGTATAATTAAATTACAGTCACCTGCGGGTAATAACATTTCAGATAGAGATGGTATATTAGAGTATATAAATATAAGCAAAAACAACATTGATTTTCTCAATTCGACAATCTAATATTAAACTTCAAATTAAAGCTAAAATGTCACCATAGCAATTATTTTTTCCAATAATCTTTAATATCCAGATGTAAACAGAATAGTAAATACTTACATGGTTACTCTGTACCCCACTTAACACATTTTTTAAAGTTATTTTAAATATTCAATTTGATTACTTTTTCAAATGAATACAGTATTTGCCAAAACTTTATAGTTAGAAATTTTATTAACTGTGTTTGAAGACATTTTATATAATCAAGTTATTAAAGCAGAAAAACAGAAAAATTGTCATTACAGACCAAATTTCTTCTGTCTTAAATTTTAAAGCTTTTTCTAAAGAGCACATGGTATCTCGACTTTGCCCTTTAGCTTTTATTGGGCAATTTAACTGTAATAAAATGCAGAAATAGACACATGAACCACTGAACATCTATGAAATTGTCTAGCAGCCAATTTACTTTTTTTGAAACTGTGTAGATGATGATTCTTAAATTAGCTAGAATTATCTTTTTAAATTTAGTAAGTATAGCTTGCAATACTTCTCAAAGTTAATATTAACTAAAATATGATATAAAACACAGGGATTTATTAGTTTAAAAAAACAATATTAGATAATTACATTCACTTTACTTAGAATAGCAAACAGATAGTAAATTTTCTAAGGACAAACAATCTAATATGCAAATTATTACATATATGATGGTGTAAGTGTGTGTAGAAGTGTGTGTGAATGTGTGTTGGAATCCATCTCAACAGGAAGAGGCTTTATACAGGCATATTTTTTTTTTTTAAAGCTGTTTCCCTCATGTATGCAATGTAAGTCTTTTACCAGCATCTCTGTGGTTCTATTCAAAGTTAGTATAGCTTAACTACAATAAAGCATTTGTGGAGAAGAACCGAACTATATAGAATTATCTTCAATACGATACAATCTAAGTTAACATGAATGTGTGTATATGAGTGTAAATGCAGAGAAGATGCATGTAATTTGGTTAGAAACAGTGCGGTTCTGGTGCAATTTCCTCTCTCAGTGGCTATAATCCTGTTTTAGATTTTGATATATTCTAGATTCGTGTGGAAAATTTGGCCCTGATTTATATCCAACATTTGTACATATTCAGTCCATATAATCCACAGATGAAAGAATCACTATTGGTTTTGTTCTATTTAGGCTTCTCAAATTGTATTTCTAGACCTGATGATTTTCTCATTTTGTTTCTATACATGTATAATCCTAAAAACCTGGAAATATACTTCTCTTTATTTTTCTTTTCCATGATTGCTTCCATGAACTACTTCCCACAGCAATAGTTGGACAGATTTAAAGTCTTACCCATCTTTATGGGGTAGGGAGGGAAGAGACTTGGAAAAAACAGAGGGCATAGGCAGATTTCCTTCCCATTAAGACTTAAAGATTGCCAGTTTTCTGAAAGTGCCTTTTTTATGACATAATTCATTAGTCTACCACTAGAACGGTTATAACACAATCTATAAGATGCCTACACCAGTTAAATTTCTTACCTTAATAATTTTAGCCAGACTTTACAGAACAGCATTCTACAAAAAGCTTGCAGAATATTGCAAACACACTCTCACGAAAACAGTTTTATTTCCCTCCTTCAGCGTGCAAGCCTTTTCTCACCTACGTACTCTATCATTATGTATTCCTTCTGAAATCACTTTAAGCATCTATCACTCACCTCTTCACAGTCTAAAACAGTGTCAACGAACATTGTTCAAATATCCCAGAAGTTAAGTATTACAAACCTAATCATGTCCACCTTGGTATTTTTCTTTTTATTCTTCCTAATTTCTAAACATATATTATTTCCATTAAAATGATCAGATTCAATATTTATTACTTTTTAATGGTATCATCTAGAATAGCTGTGATTTCGATGTTCATCTATAGAGGCACAAAGAAAATTAGAACTTGTTTGTATATTTTTATCATAAGAATCATAAAATGTTTTGCTCCCACTTGTTTAAGTTGTTGTATTTTACTCACACGGTCCACTATCACGACTCTACAACAAAACTTTATCTCATTATTCTATTGGTGTCTTTTTTTTAAATTCAGTACAAATGCTAATATATGTGTTAATGTATTTTTTAAGCTTATTCACACTTCTTACACTGAATATAGTTTACTTCTGTTTTTTTTTTTTTTTTGAGACGGAGTCTCACTCTGTGGCACAGGCTAACTTCTGTTCTTATAATACAAATAATTGAATTCAACTAACGCAGTCAATTAAAATTGAGAGGATGGAATCTCAAATTATCTGTAATCATTAATGAATATGTTTATGTCTGAAAATTCATATTTAAAATAAAACTACGTAATTATCCTCATCCATAAGTGTCTGCTTAACAAGACTAAGCCTTCAATGTCTTTACTGGCTAAATATATTGAGCGCCCTCTGCTGGTCTAGTCTATAACTGGTATGTCTCACTTTTAAATACAGCTCTCCCATTTCAGGTTATTGTTTAATTCTTGGGAAAATTTCTCTAGTAGATATTCTACATTTTAGGCCACTTTTTGTTAACTAAGTTAATTCAAACAATGCACTTTTCATACTTTTCTTGCACAAATTTAAAAAAAATGCATGTGCAGTTTTTTAACAATATAAAATTTCTTTTTAGCTATTAAATTCCTTAGCCAATATTGTTAATCTGATTAATTTCATGTAGTGCCAACCATTTTCACCTGAGTACATTTTCACTATTTTACACATAGTCACCACATTTTTTTCTATAAATATTACGAGAATTTTAACTTCTCTATTTCCCTCATATTTGAGTCATACAATGAGGTTCTTTAAGGACTTGTTCAGCCTCAATTATTTCAAGTTCACATTCTTCTTAAACAGGTAATGATTTAACAACTAATGGAAACTCCAGTTCTCAAAAATATTAAATTAAAAATAAAACTAGTTTATCATCACTGCTGTTTCGGAACATGGTCTTGGTGAGAGAGGAACATTTGTCCTGCCTTTTAAACTATGGTGACAAAAGGAGCACATGACTATTTCAATGAGGGAAAGCTTAAGATCTCCACATTAAATAGCTCTCATACGAAGTGTGCTCCTGCAAACCTATGTTGAGCTGTGGATAAGGCTTATGTGCCAGGATGAAAGCATTTGTTAAGTTGGGCTTAACAATGCAAAGAAATGCAAATGCAAGGAAAACCCTTAAGCAAAGGTTTTCTTTGGAAATATACACAAAAACCGAACTGTGATTTGGAGCATACACACAGACCTGGCCGGTCTTCAGGGTGTCCACAGAACAAAAGAAAGGATTGGGGTTTTATTGGTTAAGAGAAACGTGTTGTAAAATGTTTTGAAAGTTCATTGGCCTGGAGAAGTATTTCCAGCTCTGGCAAGCTGTAATTGTTGAGTGATGGTGGTAGGTAAAACTAATCTTGGTGGAAGGTAAAACTAATCTTAGAGGCATGGAAGGTAAAACTAATCTTAGAGGCATGGAAGGTGAAACTAATCTTAGAGGCATGGAAGGTAGTTTCAGCAATCACTAGGTAAAATGGGTTTTAAGATTATAGCAAGTTATTTCTGCAGCTGGGCTTGCCAGACAGTTCCTGGAGCAGGAGCTTTGTGAACTGAGTGCTTTTTCCCCATGGTCCTTAACTCCCATCTAGTTGGGTATGACTGTAAAAATCCGAATTCATATCATCAATTTTCACAATTCGGACAATGGAATATTACATAGCAACAACATGGATATTTCTCATAAACATAATTATGAGCTAAAGAAAATAGACATAATAGAACATGTGTTAGAATATGAGCTAAAGAAAACAGATACAATAGAATATGTGTTTACTTTCATTTATACGAAGTTCAATAACATGAAATAATCAATTCTGTTGATAAAAGACTTCTGAATTCTAAAAGATTATCTTTGGTTGGGGGTGGGAATTGGCTGGTAACTGATGATGAGGAGGTACTACGGAGCCTTCTGGGTACCAAAATTGTTCTATATTTTGATCTGGGTAGTAGTAACACAGGTCTATACATATGTCAGAATTATTGAATGGACACTGCAGATTTGTGTATGTTATGAATGGCTGTTGTATCTTAATTCAAAGCATTATTTAAAAGTAAACAAAAACCTTTACAAATTTAAAATTTAACACGCCAAATGTGTCATGCAGAG